AAACGAGTCGTCAGCCTCGCAATCAATTAATCGGGGAATTATTGGAATGCTAGATTCCAACGACACCTTTTTCATTCGAACAATTACGAAATATGTTTGAGAGAGTTTCAATCGCACGAGGGAGAGAGAAGAGAGTTGGATAGAATATTTTAAGGGAGAATGACGACTACTCGATAAACGAGACGTCGGCCTCGCAACCAATTAATCGGGATATTATTGGAATGCTAGATCCTAACAACACCTTTTTCATTCAATTAATTATGAAATTGTATTTGAATGGACGACGACAATATTTGTCCAAATAGTTAGGGCACGTGTTTTATAAACGAAAGGTCGAGCGAACCACAACCTAAAGCGTACGCCCCAAGAGTAGTTACTCAAAAATTCAAGGAGTGCGAGACTCCAAGAACTCAATTCTTTCGCAATTTAGTTAAGAAAATAATTTGGATTTGACACATGGTTTAGAAACATACTAGGGTTTAGACTCGATCACACGAAGGCGAGGAACGAGGTTAGATGGTTTGAAAAATTAGGAGGAATGACGACTACTCGATAAACGAGACGTCGGCCTCGTAATTAAATCAATCGGGACACCATTGGAATGTTCGATCCCAACGATACCTTTTTCATTCGAAATATGTTTGATGGATAGTTTAGACGCGAAAGAGTTTGAATTGAAAGAGATTTTGATTCAATCACTCGAGGGTGAGAAATGAGGTTATGCAGGTTGAAAAATTAGGAGGAATGACGACTACTCGATAAACGAGACGTCGGCCTCGTAACCAATTAGTCGGGATATCGTTGGAATGCTAGATCCCAACGACAATCTTTTTCATCCCATTAATTATGAAATAGTGTTTGTTGGACAGTGAATACTTGCCCAAATACTTATGGAAATGTTTTAGAAACAAAAGTTCGAGTGACGCGCTATTCGAGGCGTACACCTCTATAGTAGTCACTCTAAAATTTGAGGAATGCACGACTCCAAGAATTTGGTACTTTCATAATTTAATTAAGAAAAATGACTTGAGTAGGTTAGTGTGTTCGAATTAGGCGCGCTAGGTGTTTTAGAAAATAAAAAACGGAAGGATCACAACTCAAGGTGTGCACCTCGAGAGCGGTCGCTTAAAAATTCAAAGAAGGCGAGATCGTTTAAAAATTCAAGGAAGGCGAGATCCAAGAATTCAATCGTTTTGAAATTTGATTAAGAAGAATGATTTAATTTAATTAAGAAAAAATAGTTTTAATTTTCAAAAATAAATTAATCAATTATGAAAAGGTTTTATGAAAAACTAATCATAATTAATTGTTTTGAGAAAATTTTATTATTTTAGAAAAAAGTTTTAACTTAATTAATAAAGTAGTTTTTTTTTAAAAGTTTAATATTTAAAATATTACTTGGTAATAACTTTGAAATATTTTTTTTTAAAAGAATAATTTGAGTTTTCTTATAAAGATATCTAAAAGTAAATAAAAATATCCTTTATAAATTTCATTGAAACTAAGTGAAAAAACAATTTGAAAACCGAAAGAAGGAACAACCACAACTCAAGGTGTATGCCTCGAGAGCGGTTGTTCAAGGACTCAAGGGATGCTAGACCCCAAAAGCCTACTACTTTCGTAATTAGTTAGAAAAAAAATTTCGCTTAAACATATTAAGAAATGACCTAATCGAAATTGAAAGTAATATTTGGCATTAATACGCGGTAATCCGCATAAATTATCTTAGTCGAATTTTCCAAATAATTTGAAGTATCTATGCCAAACTTTAAATGGAAATATGCTCTGAACAAATGCCAATCTAATACTGATACCTCACAGTTCAATAGCAGTATGTGTTAAAACACTCAAATTAATTCCAGCCACACTTCAATATGTTCTGAACGAACCATGGTCGTCGTATGAAAACATTACAACCTCGGCTTATTGAAAAGGCTCACCATGAATAAATAAAAAAAATAAAACAACATTGGATTAATATACAAACTAGGACACACTAAATCCTGTAACAAATTTGAATGTTAGGCACAAACACAATTCATTCTCAACCTTGAATCATCCGTAGCATCAACAATAAGCGGACGTAATCAAAACAACAAGTAAACGATCAAAATTCATGTCAATAATTCACAAAAGATGAGAAGTTTGATCAGAAGAAATAACAACACTTGAAATCAACTACTCATACACCATAAAGATAATATTGCATCATAACTGATATACACACTAATCCGGACATAATGAGAAGCTTAATATTACCGAGTGCAGCACATAACCATCTTGCTAGTCTGTGGTCTTATGTTGCATTGTTGTGGATATTGAGTCAGTGGCTTTAATTCTCGTTCCAAATTGCTATTCTACATTGAGTAGATCCTGAGACTTCCACATGAGGTAATTGGTTCCACGACCTGCAGAGATCACCAGCTTCCGCATATGGGAATACCAGCTTTACAACACCAATACTAGCAGTAACAAAATCATTTCCAACTAACAACAGGACAAAACCATAAACAGCTACAACTTAACTCTAACATTGTACGGTTGCAATCGAAATGAAAACTCAACACAATAAAACTGCAATCAGATCGCATCCGATAATCGAAACGTGTAAAACAAATGAAAACAATATCGCTAAATCATTCATAACAGAGGAACACAACATATTAGATCAACAACTTGAAACAACACTTAACAAAATTGAAACTGACGCATTTGCAAACTGAATGATAGCTACAATGATCCAAAATAGAATGTACTCACAGAATAAAGATTCGAAGCGCCGCATCACTCCAATAAGAAAAGAATTTGCATGTCTACGTACTATTGATACTTACACCACATTGTAAATAGGAAGAATTATTTAACAATACAGTCCTTAACCACATTTAAACATAAGCAGCAATTTGAGTGGCAAAATAAGATGAGTTACAAGAGCCAAATATATTTAAACTAGGAAATAATGATATCAAAGTTTAAGAACAAACATCCAATTCCAAAAGAAATGGTTAAGCCCAAAGTTATTTGATATGCATTGTTAAAATGCCACATCCACGGAACGGTAATCAGATATTCGCAACATATTAAACAATAACCACATCAGTATCAACCTATCTTACATTAATGCATGTTAAGAAACCATACATCCGTGAAATTAAATCGGAAACCAGACACAAGCGAACATCATTGAATCAAGACTGAACAACAACAATATCAACAAAAAAAACTCACTCCAAGATCAGACAATATATGCATCAAAACAAAGTTCATATACCACAAGAGCTGTAGTTTGAGTGGGAAAAAAACACTAGTCTACACAACATCAGTGAACATGATTGAGTTGCAAAAGTAATCGTTACCTCACTAAAAAAACCGTATTGACAAGATCTGAACGGACACGATAAAGGTTTTTTCCTTAGACCCTTGACGAAATGCGCTATGGACTTGCTATTGTGACGGGCATGACAGAGTTGAAGTTGCGAAACCGTTGGCACAATGCGCACTTATCACACCATCTTGATTCCTGTTATGCTTAAAGTCGAACTTGGACCACTCGTTGTTGCAGAATATAGTTGAACTCACGCATTGTTAATGAGCTGCTGCGGGAGAATTGAGCTGAGACGAGAACCAAATGGAACTTGATCAGAAGCAGCTTTCAAGAATCGAGCTCAGTTGTTGTTGTTGTTGTTTTCGCTGTATCACATCACATGCTATTGCTATTCGATGCTCCAATGCCTTCGTAACCGTTATCGCCGTTGAGGATGCAACAAACCTTTTTTTAACACAGGCAACAGAACAAATAGACAAAACCAGTTATACACACATTATGAATTGAATTGGAATTAGTGATTACCGCAGAACCCGAAGTCGTATTTGAACTGAGTCCTTCATTATCAACTTTATCAGTAGCGAGATAACTGCTATCTATCATCAATTGATGTTGCAACTTGATCCCATCACGGTGCCTCTTTTGCTTATTGTCTCTAAGTACATCCACCACCTTGGCTTGCGGCTGTGCAGACGCCTGAAAAAGATGCCTTCTCAAACAACTGCTTCAAACAATACACAACAGCACTGTAATCCTGCGACCTGAAAACTTTGGTGACAAACGTGCCCTTAGGTGCTAAAAACTGTGTAGCCCACTTAACAGAGTTATTAACAAGAGCATTCTGACTCGTAGCTTCTTGAGCCCAAGCACCACCACCTAATAATAATAATCATTACAACGACACATTACACTTACAACATCATCCTTTACATACAAAAAGGAAATAATTAAAACAAGATAATGATCAAATTTCAAATTAAAAATAAAATCCCACAAAGTTGGTTTGGTTTAATGGTTTTGGCATCAACTACCATAAACCGTTGGATCAAATCAACTTGACTTGAAAGGAATGGCTCTGATCACAACTGTGTGGTAAAGTGCTGCAAGTGTTGCACCAATGAATGGTCCAACCCAGAAAATCCAATGATCATCCCAGCCAAGATCTTCGTTGAAGATAATTGCAGCACCAAGACTTTTAGCAGGGTTGATACCAGTTCCAGTAATTGGAATAGTGGCCAAATGAGCCAAAAACACAGCGAACCCAATAGGCAAAGGTGCCAAAATAGGAACGTGAGAGTCTCTGGCACTACGTTTGGCATCAGTGGCTGAGAAAACGGTGTAGACAAGAACAAAGGTATCGATAATCTCAGCACTAAGTCCATCTCCTTTTGTGTAACCAGGAGCAACAAAGTTTGCACCACCGTTAACTTTTCCATAGAAGACTTTTTCTTCAAAACTCTTAACCACACCAGCACCGCAGATAGCACCAAGAACCTGCATCACGATGTAGAACACTGCTCTTGTTAGAGACAGTTTCCTTGCCAAGAACAAACCGAATGTCACTGCTGGGTTTATGTGACCCCCAGAGATTCCGGCGGTGCAGTACACAAGGGCAAAGATCATGCCACCAAAAGACCAAGCAATTCCTTGAATACCAACAGTTTTACACTTGGAGTCAAATTTGTTGACACCCATGAAAGTCAAGATGGTGATGTAGAGAAACAGAAAAAGTCGCAACGAACTCAGCTATTCCAGCTCTGTAGAAAGACCACGAAGTGAGTTCAGAAGGCTCAAACAACGGTGCGGGAGGTGGTTCCTTGTAGTCCTTTCCGTCGTCATGGCTCTGAGCTGCAATACCGATGGGTTGTCTCTCTGGGAATTTGTTGGCTCCGAGTGAAACATCTTGTTCCTTTGCCTCCATTTCTCACTCTCTTGTTGTTGATGAAAGAATAATTGCTATGAATGAATTGGAAGTAGTTGTGGTTGTGGTGGTTTCTGTGCTTTGGGGAAGGAGAGCCTCGTTGGGGTGGTGATTAGGGTTTCTTCTGGAGTCTAAGGTTTTGAATGGTTGTGAGTGAGCTCCTTTACCGTGGAAGGGGCCAATTGTTGTGTCGTTGATTTCGTCTGGGTGTGTTGTCATTGTTGCGGTTGACTTTGCAGGCAGTATGGTTGTTGGCTTTGTAACATATTGAGGGGTCGTTGTTTTAGGTTTTCCGTTGCGAGCTGAAGAGTTGTTCAGCTGAGGGTCGGTAGCTATTGCGTCGAGTTGATGCGAAGTCAAGCCAAAGTATCATTGCTACTGTTACTCGCTCATCCTTGTTGTTTGCAAAAGCTATTGCGAAATGAATTCTGTTCTTTGACGAAAATCTGGGTTGAATGATGATATTGAAGTTGCCGTTGGTTCCAAATTAAGACCGTGCAGGAGTCGTGTTGTTGATGCTGTCGTTGGAAACCGAAAGTTACGGAGCCTATGCGTACAATGATACTTCAAGCTCCTGCTACATAATCTGCATAAAATCAAGGAAACAGAAAAAAACACATTGTCGGCTCAAAACCAAACCGTCCTGGATTCAAACTGCCGACGTGAGCTTGACGACTCGTTTCTGTAAAATATTGTAGCCGGTATGTTGTGGCTTCTTGGTCACAGAGAAGAAAACGTGAGCAGGTCCTCAAAGGGAAAAACCAAAAAACTGATGGGTCCCTTCTTTTTTATCAGAAACACAACATGACTGAGCTTTTGAACAGGTCCCAATCTGTATGCAAATACAAGTGAAGAACAGAGCAAGATCCAAAAGCAATAAAACAGTATAAGCAAATCCTAGGAGCAAACATATCTAACAATAACATGTGTATACAAAATAAAGACTGAATGACTAAACATGATCTTCAACAAATCGACATCGAAACATATTATTGCGACATGAATTCACTTTTAACAGAAACTACCACAGATTTGGATTGCTACTGAATAAAAGCTTGTGATGTGATGTTGTCACAGCTAAGATGCAACTTTGATCCTTGCTCGGTGGTTGCAGCATAACCCATGCTCTCCTATTTCAATGAATCCGCGACATAGTACGTACTGATGTACATCAGTAGAACATAGCACAATTGATTCAAATACAACGGTAGGTGGTAGCTGCAGGAGTTGTCGGCAAAACCGTTTTCTTGCCGAGTTAAGGTTATTGAAGTTGTTGTGAACTTAGATCGAAAACTTCGTTATTGCTCAAAATTGCAGCTGAACGCTCAAGGTTGATGGTTTCAATCGAGCTGCTGCTGAAGCTGAAAATTTGCTTGTGTTGCCGCGAGTTGTTCCATGTTTCTTCCCTTTCATTCTTGCACCATTAGTTGCGTTTGTTGTTGTTCTTCTGCTAGAGCATAGTTAGCCGTTGAGTTGCAACATCGTAAACACAAAATCGAAGTTGTTGTTGTAGAGTTGTTTGATGTCGAACTCAAATCAGAAACAAGGTGCCTCCAAATTCGGGTTCTTACTGACGCCTTGCCAAGATCCTTGAGATATTAAGGTTACCGGGGATGTTCGTAAAACATCATATACACCTCAAAGTTCAAACTGCCAACGCTGCAATATCTCTTCTCTTCACCGACGTCTTCACGGTGTCTTCATCACTACAGAAATTAGATTCAACCTGGAACTAATCTGTAGTAGTATTATTCACCGTAAAGCTACAACTTCTTGCTTCAGAACTTGAACACGTACACCTTTAGTTATTCTTGTTGCAGATTTCGTGCAGAACACACACAAGCAAAGCAAAGTGTGAAGCATTGTTAGGCGTTATTCAGAGCAGCGAAGCGTGCCGGTAACAATGGCGGCGAGGTTTTGTTTTCAGCGGAGGGAACAAGAGAAAAGGAAGGCGAACGGATTTATTCGGAAAAAAATGAGATCGCCTGATGATGGTTTTCTCCTCTGAAGGGGGAGTTTTAGGGTTTGTTGAAAGTTGAACGGTGGCTATGGGGTCGAGGGGTTTCGTGTGAGGGATGAGGAAAGTGACGATGATGGTGGCGATTTGGGAGAGAAGAGAGGTAGGGTTGGTGGAATTGGACGGCGGCCGTTTTGGGGAAATGGGGGTAATGAACAGTGAACCGAAAATTAGGGTTTCTTTGAAAGGGGGGTGGCCCAAGTTAGGGCTTGATGAACAGTAACGCCCTAATTCCTTAGGGTATGGTGAACAGTAGCTGACCTTATATTCTTATTTCTAAACCCTAATTTCCCCATCTAACCAATCGTGTTTCTCATTCAACCTTTTTCTATTTATTTTTGTTTTTTCTTTTAATTAATTGATAATTCTTTTTATTATGTTTTCTAATTATTATATCAACTATTACTAACTTAAATTCTAATCTAATTTATTTAAAACAAATCCTAATTAAATTCTAACTCTATTTTAATTTTATCTTAATTAAACAATTCTAATCTAATTAATTAATAATCTATTCTAATTTAAAAAATAAAATAAAATAAAAAAACTAATCTAAATATAATTTAAATTCTAAATCTTAAAATAAAATATATATAAGAAATAAAAATAATAACAAATAAAAAGATGCCACGTGGCATGCTCTTATTGGGCTAAAAGGTAAAAATGCTCGTTTTTACTGAAAAATACGCTACGCTGTATAAGCGAGGTAAATTAAAAACAAAATCGGGCAAATAAAAATTTTAAAAAAAAGGGTAGGACAAATTTGGGGTATGACACCATGATGCTGCTCTGTCAAGAACAACCAATATCTGATAAGAAGAAAACCCCGGTATCGGATCACAAATCTGCTCTGTCAAGAACACACACACATAGGACCATAAGTCTGCTCTGTCAAGAACAAACATCTGATACAGGACCTCTGATACAGGACCAAAACTCTGCTCTGTCAAGAACAAACATCTGCTGATGAGATCCTCAGATCCCAATCAAAACCTGCTCTATCAAGAACAAATACACATCTCTGAATATAAGGTCCTCTGATACAGAACCAAAGCTCTGCTCTGTCAAGAACAATCATATATCTGATGATGAGAACCTCTGGTACCAACAAAACTGATTCACTATCAAGAAAACCAGGTAGTCTGAAGGTCAAAGTTTCCTGCAACAAACCCAACCCTGCTCACAGGTATGGACCTAAACTGACACAAGTTCGGCATCCTATGCGGTCATCAGCGTCACAGACATTCAAGAGGGGTGATACGATACCCAGAAGGTGTGGCATCACCAGCTCATGAAGCGGCCTCACCGGCTGAATCCCAAATGATCGGTCCCTAGAGTCGACAATCCTCCAAACCAACAACCCCCTCAACCCAAAGGGTTGAAAAAGAAGTCAACCGGGAGAACCTCGTCTGAGCGTGGATTTCATGAGACACTAGTGCCTGCCAAGCAAGCACGCGCCCACTAATTTCCACAACTAATGCTATGTTCACTCAAGCCTGGGTCTGGCTCCTCACTCATCAGAATGCCCCTCCCACAATAGCACAGATAATTATATCATACTGAAAATAAAGTGCGGGAAATAAAATGCGATAAATAAACACAACCCAACAAGTAATCATACAAGCGCTAGGATTGACTCTCGCAGGGGGCGTCGGATCCCCAAACTGACTCACATATGGGACGTTGGATCCCAGGAAACTATCAAGTCCCCAACAGAGTCTCCAGCTGTCGCTTCCGCGAAAATAAGGTGCCGGCAAAACCGAAGAGTCGCCACCTTTCATTATTTATCCCTCAGAACGGGAAAGGAAACGATCGGAAAAACCTGACGAAAAAGGTATAAGACAAGGTCATCGCAACCGTTGTCTGGGTTCCGGAGTTGGTTACGCAAGGGGAAGGTGTTAGCACCCCTCACGTCCATCGTACTCGATGGGGTCCACGCTTGTTGTGTTTACTGGACGAGTTGGTTTATCTATCTACCTATCAAGGCTGGTCTGAAAAAGAAAAGAAAAATGACTCGGCAAAGCGTCGCGCTTTATGCCTACGTATTCTCATCAGAGAATGAGAAATCAGAGTCAACGTAGTTTGCCTAACTACGGGTTACGGGGAAGGTGGCTCGCCAATACATCAGTATTGTGCCTACGTACTCTCAACAGGCATGAGAGATCAGAGCTTACGTAGTTCGGGATAATACGGATTACGGGGATTCAGATTCATCTGTTTTATTGAGTAGGGTTAAACAACAGTTCCAGCAGTTAGGGACAAAGCCTAGTTGCGGTGGCGCTGAAGTTTAACGACACTCTTTTCTTCAGAAAAGCTTCCTTTGAATTATGGGCCCACGAGGCAAAAAGGTTTGAAGTTTGTTTTCTATCTTTTATGAAAGAACTGTTTTTTATTGTGTTTGCAATTTCAATCGCACTAAAGACTATGACCTGAGAGTGAATGCGTCGCATGTCACCCAAAGGGTGCCATACTAAACATCCAGACTGTTGAAAAGAAGCTCTCCAACAATCCTTTCTCAGATAGCTTAAGGCTCGTAACATACGAAAGAAATCATTCATGATTACTGTATCTTAAGCTGTTTTGAGATGAGAAGAGAACATGCTCAACTAAAGGGAGACTATTAAGTCCTACTGTTGTCATGCCAAGGATTCATCCTATAGTTGAGGTTTGAAACAGGGAACTCCTAGAAGTTGTCATGCATAGGTTTCAACCTAAAGTTCTAATCATCACTTCCTTATCAAAGGAACTGAGATTCCTAAGGGATCATGTCAATGATAAACAGAAACAGATAAAACATCAGCTTAAACAGTAAACAGATATACAGTAAAATACATGCAATGCAAGTGAGGGAGGAAATGTGTGTGGGACAACAGCCTCCACAAGCTCATCTCAACCTCAAGCCAGATATGAATAACAGTAATCATACAGAAGAAATAACATGCTATCAAGCAGAATATAATAACAACTGTAATCATACAGAGGA